AGCGAAGTGGCGACGACTGACAAAGACAGCGGACCCTGCGACTGCGCGGGACTAACGCTAAGGAGAAGAAGAAGGAGAAGAAGAAAAAAGAGTGAAAAAAGGCGATCATCCAGATGGACCGGGAGTAAGAGAATGGCAATAAAAAAGAGAAGAGCGGCATTCTCATTTTCATTGGCATACTATAATCAGAACTGACTGCCATCTACCCCGTAACCCACATTCGCTTTGAAAACTTCTAAGCGCAAGATTCAAATAAGAATTCCATACATCTGAATTAGCTTTTGCGAGCATACGCTCCTCAAGACGGCTGGAGTTCGAAGCTATCACCACCAACCTACAACTATTGTCCAAGATTGTGAGCCTACACATTTGGACTGCACCCAGCATAAAAAAGTGATAAATGAAGAGCAGCTGACAGAAAGCACTTCAACAAATGAACAATGGTAAAAAAATCCCTCTGTAAGTGAGAAATACGAGAAAACGCGGACTTCAGTCAAAGCTGGAAACGGTAAAGGCATTTCCCCGTCCCCTATCCCGCTCGCCTGGCGATCGCCTCTTTACTTTTTAATGGTCGTGGCGTCGCTCCTCTCTCTAGTCTCCATCTTCTATCATCCCGTCATCGCTCTGTTACTCGTCCGGCCGCTGGTTTTTCCGTAAGCTTGGTCGATGTTCAATACTAGTTACAAGCAGCCTTATTGAGATCGTTTCTGGCAGTCCTTCAAGTGTTACCTCAGTAGCGAACCACAGATTGCTAATTCTTGAACAAAATCGCCCACATTCTGCCGTCGTAGAACATGCTCTCGAAAGCACATCGCTCCACTTCCAGTCCTAGCGAAAGTCAACAATTGACATGCGATAAAAAAAACCTCAGAATAGATATATTGGGTTGGAATACAATAGGGGCTTGAATTCGGTAAGCGCTCACATTGAAAGATGAAAACATGAAACTAGTGATGTTCTCTTCGCCACTATTCACGACTTTGACTCCATTTCGCAGGAAATCACTAGATTTAAAATTAAAAAATATTGGACCTTCTTCGAAATCCTCACTATTCTCAATTTGTACAACGTAAATATGGTTGAAAATTGAGCCGAAAAGGTTTCGATGAGATTGATGGATTCTGAAAAAGCACTGTTTCGGCATCGTATAACTTCTGTTTACAAATCAAAGAACAGCAGCTGTCGAGACGCCGATTTCTGCCACCTTTGAATTCCAGCTTCTAAGCACATATATCTGTGTACATTTATGTGCGCTATCGCAAGATACTGGACCATCATGGTGGCAATGCATTCAAAAACCGCGTTGAACATGCATTGTTTATTAAAAACGGAGCAAACCTAGGCGAAGATGAGAGTCTCCAAAGTACGTGAGCCACTTTCATTTTCACTAGAGCTCCTGCCCCTGTTTTGACTCAGTCCTACAGGATGGGCGGAAGTGGTGTAGTGGCAAGTGGCACGCTTACCACGCGAGCGGTCCGGGGATCAAATCCTGGGTCGTGAGTCGCCCGGGCCAACCAAGCCTTCCATCCCTCCGGGGTCGGTTAATTGGTACCAGACTTGTCTGGGAGGATAAAAACACTGACTTGAACATCGGCTGGCCCCCGCAAGTCATTGTATAGGCCACATCGCATTCAAACGCCACTACGAATGTACAAATGGAAGTAGAATGCGTGCCGCATCCCAAAAGGGATTGATCAACGGCAAATGCTTTATCCTTTATCCTTTTTATATTGCGAATCGTTCCCGAATATTTCGATAGCGCCCATTTATGATTGAAGGAAACGATAAGCAAAACGTTGTAGAGCGGAAGAGGATTATTGAAATGATATATGCAGTTTTTCGAGTGGTACTTGTATTGATTGGATTTATAAGCTCGAGATAGGATACGCTACGATATTATGTTCCGATTTAATAGATTCGAAAGAAAAAGAAATTATCCTTGCGAAGATGATTGAGCGATGTGGCTTGAGAAGGTGCCGAGCGAACAGACGACGAAATCCTCGGGAGGCGATTCCAATGTCACACCTCGCTTTCGTGTTCCAGTGGCCGTTTGAGCAGAAGTGGTTATGACGGGAGGAGGGAAAGTGGGGTATTGAAATGCGCCGTAGTTTTTGGCAGAAGAAGCGGTCCCTGTTAACCGCTTCAAAGAAGGCTGCGCGCCTTTAGCCGGAGGTTCGCTTTCTTCGTTTGTCTAAGCAATAAGAGCAGTGGTATATGGCAAGAAGGTAGTGTCGTCGGACTATCACTGCACTAATCCTCTTTTCCCGGCGTCTTTTAGGTCGTCACATGGTACTATTATTTTGCCCATTACGTCCATGACTTGTTTCAGGACCATTTCAATAGCATACATTATACGAAGTTATACGACGGACTATTTTAATCACCTCTTCAAGAAAGGGCAAACATCGAACAGTCTTAGTATCCCTCGTTTACCGCTTAGTGAGGGTTTAACATGGCGTTCATCACCAATTTGGCTAGCCTTGCCCAAGTTCGACAAAACAGCGGCCTTATAACTTAGCCCCTTCAAGATCTGATGCGCATTTTTTGGGCATTGCTCAAAAATTGTTCCATTCAGAAGATCTTCATGCTATTTCCCGGCGTTGGTGTCGCACGCCCGCGAAGGCGCACCTTTGTGGTCTCAAAGATTTTTTCTGATTAGCCGAAACGCTAGACTGCGCACTCCTAGTTGAAACTTGCCTTCGAAATGTACCTGTCCCGGAACCCATTTGAGATTACTTGAAATTTTTTCCTCTCACTGAACTTGTACGACCTTCTTGCTTTGTGAAAGCAAATGATGACATACCTCCGATAGCGATCAGCTTTACTCCGAAAAAGTCGTTCCAATCACATTTTCTGTCCTCATGGCCAATCGATTTCGCTGAAATGGCAGATATGTCACGCCTCTTACACTGCCATTTCAACCTCTTTCACCTTGGAGGGTAAGATGGCCTTCTGGTGGTGACCCAATAACTTTGGACGAGCCGCTCTATCAGCATTTTTCAGCCAAGTGTTTTGTTTGTTTAGTAGCGCCGCGCATCCCATTTTGCAACTGACATGAATGCCTGCGACAGAATTCTCTGACTGTAGAACTATCTTTTCGCTTTCAGTCGTCGCTTGAGTTCCGAGTGCATCTGCGTTGCGAGTTTCTCATGCTCGGCATGGCTAGCGCGGCGACGCTGATACGTCCGCAGGCCTCAAATCGTCTCCAAGATCACCTGGACCTCTTCGAGATGATGCGAAAAGAGGACGAGATCGTGCTCTCCGGGTAGGTAACTTTTTTCCCATACCATCGCATTCAATCAAGTTTTAGTAAAACACAGCATATGAAAATTTCTTTTCAGAGGTAACTCCGAAGACTCGGGTGCCTCGTCACCAGTGAACTTCGAGAGCGCTAGTGATATTGCCGAAGCCCTCCATTCGAAATTAAGAAGTTCGCCAGCACTTCCCCACTTCATGTCCCTTCTGCAGCATTTGTTTATGGTAAGACTTCCTATCTCTTCTTTTCCTCCAAAGCACACGGGTGGTAGCGCAGGTGAAGTAGCAAGTGGTGACGCGAAAATTACGGGTCGAATCCCGAACCTCATCGTCTAAGCCATGTCTGAGCCACACAGATCCTTTCCCTAGAGCCACGTGAATGGTGTCAGGCTTGTTTGAGAAGACATAAAGAACCTTTTATACAGCTAGACCTACAAGCTACTACAAGGAGGGAGACAAAAATGACTTTCTCCCTCCACACTCAGAAATGAATCAATCGAAGTTTGCCAAACCTAAACAAATCTTTTATTAAAAATTGATGAGCATATTCGAATCTATCGAAATCTTCATAGCGGCTCTGAACGGAACCACATCGGGTACGGGAAGGTGCAAGGTTCGAGCTCAACGTGTCAATGTATGGCGTCAGGAACGTATTTTTTTTCTCAGACACTTCAATCGAAATTTGTTCGAACGAGTTGAGACAAATAATGAATTCACCCCACAGACAAAAACACACCAACCAATACCACCACCACAACGACCACACAACATAACACACACACAACACCCAAAAAACCAACCAAGGTAGGCGATTCCATGTAGGCTTTATTTAAGGGTCTACTTGTGTTTTACGGATGGCAACGCGTATGGCTTCATTTTCTGATGTCAGAATACAAGGTTTGCGCTGTCATATGCGCGCGCTATGAGGGGGACATCTAGGTATGTATTTTGCCGTGATAATTCCATCAGTGGCTGCCAGTTTGGCTCGCATGGTTTGGACAAGGTTTAGAACAGAGGATGTCAGGCGGTATGCAGAACCTGCCCTGTCAGGTGAATGGGGGGAAACGCTGCCGATTGGATGGCCGTCGTAGGAGGCACAGGGTCATTCTGATGAGAAGCCGTGGACTTGAGCCAAGGGTAAGCGGCCGTGCCGGGACTCCAAAGGAAGGGAGACGTTGACAAGCAAGGATCACTTGAAGCGGGCTACTATACAGAAATATGCTCTGGCATATGTTAACAACATGGCGTGTTGGTCTGAAAAGAGGATCCTTGCGTGGCTAGATTGGTGATGCCTGCAAATTTTTCTGTCATCCTTCCCTTGTAAATGGGTATGGTGCGAAAAAAAAAACAATGTGGAAGGACGGATTGATTGCGCAGACGCAAAAAGTAATTCGATCGTGATGGTGGTGCTTTTTTTTTTATCTGAATTACAAGTTCTTAGTGATAGGAGGATTCCTTCCTATATGTGTAATCTACCACAACCAGTCAAAGGAATGTTGAGAGGAATGACTGCGCAGCGTTGGTCGTCCTTCTAAGACTATTAAAACGCCTTTAATTCGAATCTGAAGGGTCTTTCAGTTGAGTTATGTGCTATGCAATACAGGGCCAGCAATTAAGTCAGGGTTTTTACACGTGGCCCGGAAATTCACAACATAGGCCAATTGATAAGGGAAACAAATTATCAGGTGGTCAGTCATTGGCATTCTTTGCAATTGTAAGGTCATCCCTCAGCCCATTCCCTTAAAATTTCTTGGGCAATATTTCCGATTGCTTGATTACATATTTCAAGCGGGTGTGATTCGTGGTGATCATGTGCATTCTCCGGTCTTATGTGAAAGCTCTTGACTCGATAAAGAGATGTAAAAGTTTAGGTCCATATTCATCTGGCGCAAATTTTTTTCATCAAAAGCCGCAGATATTTTTCATGCTAGCAATCGGTCCTTCATGCGTCAGGTACCATCGGACGAGAAGCACCTCCCGCTTGTGGCGCCTCTTCGATTTAATCCTTCAACATCTTACTCTTCAAGCAACCGTTCAAGGAATGAGTGACGTCGAGGAGGCATTTGCTCCACCATTGACATGGACGAAATACTGACGAGGTTTGTTCATCGCCAGGAAAGATTCGTAATGGGTCCATTGTTTTTTGACCCAGAATTGACACGACTGTGTATGAAGCGTTTGGGAGAGCGTATGGTATGCGCATGAAAGAGGCAGTGGCCAGGAGCGAGTGCGAGCCATGTGGTCGACAACGCATAGTGATCTCAAGATCGGTAAGAGATGCATCTCAGCAGGTTTGCGTCTTTCCAGTGGTTGTCTGGTTAGGAGGTAATATATAGAGATTCTATTCGGATTTTTTCGACTATTTATTCGATCACTTCATCTGGTCCTCGTTATCATTGCCACTTATTGCCGCCGGCGACAGCCCACACTTCCTCCACGCCTTGTAATTAGGGTGATCAAGATGATGAGGTGCGGGGTCATCCGGCATTCGATCACCTTTACCTCCAATGGTTCAGATTTTTAGTCAGCCATCTCTTGATTGGGTTGTGCTGACTCATAAAGTAAATTTCGATAACATAATCGGCTACTTTACGTCAAAAACTTACTCCGAAAGCGTTGTCAAAATGCCTCTTTCCTTGACCTACATTTGTGAATTTCAGACTCAAAAACGAGTGCCGAAACCATCGGGACCATTGAAGTCGTTCAACTGGATAAAGCTTACAGAGTCCAAGGTCAAAGGAACAGCTTGGGAGTTCATTGAAGATGAGAAGATGTATAAGCAGGTAGGAAGGCAGGAATTGCTTCTGGTGTCTACACAATCTATTGTGTTGTACAAGGTGAGCCAGAATTTGTTGGGAATTGGCGATGGTGCGCGTGGTCAAAACACTTTTTTGCGCAGGTAAGGCTTTAAGGTCGATGTCATAGGTTTGCGCTAATGAGGCGGTGAATCGACTTGAATCTGCGCGGCTTAGACTCACCGAGAAAAGTCAGCGATCTGCAACGCAACGTGCAAGCCGCCACTCTGTGCCGCCAATGCATTGGGCGCGGTCGAGCAACTTATTCTCATCCGCCCACATTATTAATATGGATGTTTTTATCATTCGACATCTTTTTTTTCATAGATGGTTTATAGTTTCTGATGCGGTCAACACTTACAGTAAAGACTTGTCTTGGCGTTCTTTGACTTGTATAGTGTGGCGTTGCGTACAGAGTTCCTGTCGATCATTGGATTTGGTCTTACTGTGGGGGGTTGTTCCTTCATTTGAGCTGTCATGATGTCTTGGTTCTAAATAGAATAGCATTTTGTCTTCTATAGTAGTGTTGTAAAGGGATGTGGAAGCGAAGGGAATTTGCCAAAAACGATCTTATTTAACTGCTACTTCTTTAAATAGAGTCGTGCGAGATCGAACGCGAGTTAACTCGTCTTGTTTATCAATATCAGATCCTAGTTAATCCCTTATTTCTGCTTTGTATTTGTCGGTGTATTCTAATGTCATACTGAGGCGCGAAACTGATCACTCGCGAAGGGTAATAGGCTTGTGCGCAAAGCGATGACAGGGAAATCCGAGTGGCGAGCAGGGGGAATGATTCGTGTCGAACTGATGCGATAGCGAATTGACGCGGCTAGAGTTTTGCCGATCTGAAGCGAGGCATCCAGGGGCCTCTGAGTCCACTGAAGATCGGCCGCGCATTTTTAATTGGGTATTTTCGTCGCTGTCTTGTTGTCCATGTGCTCAGGTATGTCTCTTTACTTGAGGACGTGGAGCGTCCAGCGGGGTTCGCCCAATTTCTTGATCAATCTCTCTTGATTTTGTGTGTCCTGGCATGTTTTTTTTCACAGTTCTGTTCTCTCTGTTGTGAGTCACTGTAGCTTTTCTGCTGTTATTTCAGTAATTTGAATCGCTCAGGAAACGGACTTTTCCCGGCTCTTCGGCGTTGTCCTTTGGCTTTTCTTTTTGTCTGTTGATATTTCGGCCATCTTTTATCTTTGGCGCGAAATAGCTATACCAGGCTAATCCAAGAGTGTGCTTTCATCTTACACACTTCGACATGCATTTGATTTCTCAGTGATGAGCAAACCTTTCTATTTCACTTTTTCCGGAATTTAAATCAGTTTTTGCATATTTAGTTGGACTTGGAAGATGTGGCTTCGACATTCGCATCGAGCTCCCAAAAGGAAGAGGATACTGACTTCTACAGCACGATATCAAGGAGAACTAGGGATACGCAGGTGAAATTCGTACTATTGCCGTTTTTCGACAAAAGAAATCACTAATTCGATGTATTCAGGTTTCGGTGATCGATCCGAGGCGTTATCAGAACTGCACGATTATGCTCTCTAAGCTGAAGCTTTCCCACAGAGAAATTCGAACGGCACTCTTGGCGATGGATGACAAAGGGAAACTTCCCAAGGATATGCTCGAACAAGTGCGCTTTCTTTATATGTTTTGTTCACTGTTTATATGTTTGTTTACTCTAGAGTTACTTCGCGACGTATCGTATAGCAACTACCTCTATGGAGTTAGGTGTAATACAGTTCAAATGAATCACACCTTTTTCGCCCAAGAAAAATGAGAATCCGCTATTTTTAGATGCTCAAATTTGTTCCGAGTAAGGAAGAGGTGACTCTGCTGCGAAGCGCTGTCAATCGTCACAGTTCGCCGTCGGTTCTCGCCTTGGCCGATCGCTACCTCTACGAAATGGCTCAGTGAGTGCTTTTCAAATTTTAACATAGGTATGCGAGTTCGAGGTCTTGGTCGTTCAGGATCCCGCGTTTTGAGCCACGTCTTCGCTCTCTCTACATTATCCGAACGTTCCAGGAGAGATTCGACTGTCTCACACCACACATTCAGAGTGAGTTTGAAAAGGGAGAAACCGCCAATTCCTCGCGAAAAACTTTAGGTTCTTTGGGGCACGAACACTTTGCAATTGAAAGACTCAATCCTTGCAGTAATGTGTGTAGTTAGGGGAACTTCAGTGCTCGTCAATCTTGGTTTTTCACGATCTTAGTCGCTGCTCACTCGCCATCTTCAAAACTTCAAAAAATGCAGTCCCCACATTGCAAGTGAAAAATCAAGGTTTCCAAGCATTTTTAAGCCACGACATTTGGTGACTGGACCAAGAATTGGGACCCCTAGTAGAGTGAGGAAGCGCAGCCCCAAACGCAAGGGGCGCGACACTGTAGCGGCTCGAAAGTGCGAGGCAACAGTTTGTAGGCCGTGTCTTGTGTCCTGTCGTGCTGTCATCCTCATCAATCGCAGCTGCGTGGCGCTGCGATTGATGAGGATGACAGCACGACAGGACACAAGACACGGCCTTAGAACTGTTAACGTCTGCGCTCTCTCGCGTACAGCATGCTCACTCGCGTTTTCCCTCCTTTGGCGGAGCTGTCTCTCCTCCATGCCACAGCCAATTTCAGGAGGGAATTTTGATGTTGTGTTCTATGGCGCTTTTTGCTCTTTCTCGCCCCTGTTCCCCATTGCATTCTTTTTGGATTTTGATTAAAAGAACTAACCAATTCGATCTCGACCCGTGCCTTTAAGGCAAACGGCAGTGCTAACATATTTTTTCAGTTCGCTATTTTCTGAATTCTCTCGAACAATTTTAAAGTGTGCGCGGCACTCGACACTATTGACCATTTAGGATGACTGTTTCAGAAAGGCCATGTCAATGCAATAGCGCTTTGATTCAGCAAAGCTATCGCCATGATTGGTCTTGAAACAAAAATGTTCTATTAATGGTTCGCATTGACGTGACTGCAAATAGAAGAAACTTTTCTGTATTTCCCACTACTTTTTCTACCATCTAACTCTCGCTTTTCTCCAGGACTTGGGTGCGTTGAAGGTCCTTTCTTAATTGTATTCCCGCCTCGCTATGTTACTGCCTTCTTGCATCCCTCACCAGAACGGGAGAACAGATATAGTTTAAAGTTTCTTATGCAATTAGCTATGCCCGTTCTTCAGCTGAATTAGAGCAGTCTTCCCAATATCTTGAAGCATACAGTCCAGCGGATGGTCATGGTCGGAACGGCTCAATCCCCTCGCCCGATTCCCTTTTCGGAGCTGTTCAGCCCCTGGTCAAGAACGCAAGAATTGTAACTGAACAAAAACCCCTTGGAAAGCCGTTAGACGGGGAGCTGAAGTGGGCGTGCTCCGAATCGGCTGGGGGGGGGGGGATTGCAGTCGTCCTGACCACCGCAACCTCTAGGTACGTGCTTTAGATACCGTAAGTAGATTGAAAGAAGTGTCCGAAGGCCGCAAGTGCCGACCTGAAAGCCTGTATTTGATTATCTGCGCTGGCTGGCATGGGATCGAGGCTATGAAGAACCCAACATTCTCCATAAAGTGGCGGGAATCTCAAAACAAAGCAAGCCGAACTGCGACTGCATTACCTGAAAAATTCTCTTTCAGGTGTCACGAAGGCATCTTCGGCGATATCGTCCAGCAAGAAGTTCAAACAGCTGTTGGCGTTGGTGCTGGCGCTCGGAAACCATCTCAACTATGGCAAGAGGAATGGGAACGCGTTCGGTTCGATTATCTTCAATTATTTTCTTGACATCACATAGATTTTCGGAATATTGGAATGGGAGGAAGAACCACGTGACCTCGTCGTATAACATTGATATGACCGCCTTTTTTCGTTAAAGTGCGAAGGAGTCATTGCTCACAACAATTATCCGACCTCGGACTCATAAAATAGGGAGGGAAACCGGTTTCTGCCGTGTGCACCACGTGGTGCTCGATAACTTCACAATCACTGCAGCTTAGCCCTAAGAAACAAAAAGCATCCATATAAGTTTTTTGTACTTTTGGTGCCAAAAAAAAGTTTAGCGAAGGAGGAGTTGGAGTAATGGGAAGCATTGCCGCCTTTCATGTTTACGATCAGGAACCATCCAAATCAAATCTCGCCTCTGGCAACCGAACCTTCCATCCCCTTTAGTCGCCCGGCTGGCACTAGACGATAATATTTTTATTTTTTATTTACTGTTTTCTTGTCGTATATTTTCGCTTTATTTTTTATCTTCTAGTCATTTCATATAGTTTTGCTTGCAGTGTTCTATACTACTCCTTAGCTATTCACATTTGAATTGAGAAGCATGGTTACTCCCATGTTTTCCTCGCTTATCCTCACTACACCCATTCAACCAACGCGATCCGCTTCAGAGTTCAAATATCCGTGGAAAAATTTCCAAATACGGGTCGTATATATGATTTTTGAATGGCTGGGGTCGTATTAGCCTTCAGACGTAGGCTGTGGTGGTGGAAGAAACATGCAGAATCGGGCAGAAATGTGTCAATAGATGAGCTTTTACGTAGGTTTCTTCTTCCTCGCTCCTCCACTCGACGCTGGCTCTGGGTCTTCCCATAATAATGGTTCATTCCTTCTTTCACTTGTGAAAACTTCCTGCTTTTGGTGAAATTTGATTTTTCTTAGTGACCTGTATGACTCATTACGCACGTGTGTTTGCGGGGCCAAGAAAATTTTTGACAGCGAGGCGCGCACCTGACGCAACGTGCAAGTATGGCTCGAGTGATCGTGGGAGATCCTCTGTGCTAAGACAACCTATAATTACGTTCTAAGCGATTGGAGTGCAGTTTACTGCAGAGGGAGCAAATTTTATATCTTAACAAATTCGATAAATCCTTATAATCTTATTTTATTAGTATTTTTTTCTGTATCTTAGATCTTATTTCTACGAAAAATTCTCAGAGTATCTATGTGTTCAACCCACCCTTTTCCAGTGTGAGAGCTCCATCATCTTCCTTTAAATCATGCTTTGTGAATGTTGCTGCGTTGTAGGATTCGGACCTACGTCGTTGAACCGACTGAGCGATGTGAAATTCTCTCATCGCTCCGATCGAACACTACTGCATTATGTTTTGCAAGTAGTTGAAAATCGTTTGCCTGACCTCGGGAAGCTGAGAAGAGAACTTGCAGCTGTCTACGACGCTGCTAGATACAAGTGAGCTCTCCATATCCCTTTGAACACATCACGAAGAAAGGATCTTCCTTAGCAATTTTCCCATTTTTCAGTCGCAACGAAGTTCTTGGCTGAAATTCGCAGTTTGGAGCAAGGGATCACCGCTGTTCGTTCCGAGCTGGACATTCATGAAAGAGGGCGCACATCAGGAGCAGCTCAATCAAGACCCGACCGATGAGGAATGGAAGAAGGTTGATAAATGTCCTTTTTGACATAACTTATGCCTACTATAATACAATGGAGCCTACTAAGTCTATGATTATCAGAGCCTAGGCGAACTATTGGGCTTTGCTATTCATTGGACATATATCACAAGAAAGTTTCTATGGCAACGGTGGTCGTATTTCTAGGCACTCAGCGCATTTTGCTCGCGAGAATAAGCCTTTGTGGGTCGGTCTAGACAGAACGCAAACAAAATTTATTTGAACAATCTTCACGGCTAATATGATTGAAAGGAGGTTAAGAGCCCATCACTTGAGATACTTCCAACCTATCGACACCCAACAAGCATGAACGCGGGTGTCTTTCGCCTTTCTCTATCGTCTCTTCGTCAGTTGATCTTCCTCATCCGACTTTACAGTTCATTCTCCTGAAGCCGTACAACGCATCATAATTAAGCGCGAAAGAAGGACCCGATTCTTACCACGGATGGCTTTTAAACTTACCATGGAATAAGAACAGAAAAAGAAACAGAAAGGATGCCCTCGTAATCCGATAAGATCAAGAATACCACTCTCAAATTGGAGGCAAAAATGTTAAGTGAACTTTTCAAGCAACTTGTTGCCGGTCGTGAAAAGAAAAGCATTAATAATTTCGTGGCACCAAACTATCGTCGAGTGGTCTCTGTGACAAAAATGGCTGTCATTGTCGTGATCAGGCCACCTTCATGTTTGCCCATATTCCCTATAAGCAACACCAGAGAAAATTGAAACATGCTGGTGCGGATAGATTAGCTCTTCTCACATACTGGCGATGCAATTGCTGTCGGCTTTGACCGCATAACGGGTGCGAATTGGGGTGCGTTCTGTTCTATTCCTCAGGTCAGGTCACCTAAAACAAGCCACGCCTCATTTGTTCATTGCCCAGAAGATCAGATAAAATAGAGAGAGAAGCTAGCCCACATCGTAGCCTAACCGTAGAACATTAGGAGAGATTACGATAAAGTGCGTGTGCAGCGTGGAAGTACATGCACCATTGGAAGCAGTAGTCAGGGGCCAAGGAAAGCGAAATGTTGCGTTTTTGTGGCCAAAGGTGCGCTAGCTGCAGCGTACTGGGCTTGCCATTCCTTTCTGAGCTCCGCCACGGCCTGTGCCCCGCCCCCAGCCGCAGCGTCCTTCGATTATCGTTTTGATGAGGTATTCCGCTGTGAGTGCGTATCCTATAACTTTCCCATGGAACGCGTTACCAATCAAAGCATGGCCTTTTGGTATGATGGTGGCTATCGGTTCAACATGTGCAAAAGAACTTTCAGTCGGTTGCTAGCTCGAAAAAATCAGCGCGTAAAGAAGCACTGTAAGAATATCGGGCAGTCAATAGGCCAAACCCCTAGGAGGTACGAGTGCGTCTCGTTAGACTCTTAGTGATATGCTAAATATGTATAGGTCACAGTTTCAACTTATTCCGAAAAAGCTCATTCTCTCATCCTCACAATGGGAAACAGTTCGCAGAAGTTTGTAAATGTATCAGAAAACATCGAAGTTTGTGAGTTTTCCGTGCTCTTATTTCTTCTTTGTCTGCAGGACCGTTTCGAAGCGGTAGCCAAGCAGTTTGTTGCTACCGCCTGCGAACAGTACCACACTTTGGAGAAACAGCACAGCGAAATGAAAGCCAAGGTAAGCCTTACAGCATTGAGCTTCAACGGGAGATCATTGCTAATGCGACTCTTTGCAGTTCTCGGCATGTGCAGCGCAGTTCTGCTTCGACACGCTCAATCCCGAGGAGATGTTTAGTTGCTTAGCCAAGTTCCTCACCGCTTTCTGTGACGCCCAACAACAGCTGTGGACAGAAAACGAGCAAAAGGAGCAAGTGAAACGACAGACCATCGCCAGGAGCTATTTTGCCAAGAAAGGTGCGTTTAATGCCATCCATGGATCCTCTGGGTTAATTTATAGTCTTTCATTGTAGTGAGGGGTTCAGGATATCGAACGCAATGAGTGTTTCTCAGCAGCGCTCTCCCTATGCTCGCGATATTGCAAGAAATAGTGAACAGGACACATAACCTAAACCAGTGGGGTACCCTAAATGAGATCTAGGCATGGGTCAATGCCCACGTTCTACCCATTTTAAAATTTTTGCAACCCTCTTGGAGAGGTTTGGTCGTCACTAACTATCATCACCACGTCCCCTCCGTCTGCCCTACTGGGCTTCTTTCTCCGAATTCCACATATTCACACATCTATTCGTTTCTTCAGTCCTCTGATCATTTTCCTCGTCTTATTTTTCCGCCACAAAACGCCCATTCATTACAGTCACCTGTCTACAGTACAGTTGCCATTCATAGATAAAATGGAATTCAATGAATATGCTGGCGATGAGAGTAGCGATCAAAGTAGTAGTCATTTTGCAAAAACGGCGCTATTGAACGGCGATAATGCGCCCACACAAACAAATTCGTAAAAACTGCAGAATTTCTTTTCTTTCACTAACCATAAGCCTCTACTTATTTTAGCTCGACTCCTTTTATCACATTGACTTATACCTCATCAGTTCAATTCACCTCACATACTACCTATAAGGAAGCGGGGGTGGCTTACCAGAGAATGGTTTTAAACTTCCCATGAAGCTTTGCACCGGAGACCTTCGGTACAGGTCGAAAGAGTCTTGGTACGCTGGATTAAAATGAATACTAAAACTGTTACATAGAGCTTTCTTTAAAGTTGTGAGCCTTAAAAGCTAGCAAAACAAATGATGCTAGCTGGATGAAAGTGCAACATGTGTGGAAAACATAGGTGCTGAAGTTCTGTTTTATGAGGGCAGATGGATATCCTGATCACGAACATGAAGACTCGTTTTGGCGCAGAGCCCACGGCGACTGAATCTTCACACCAGGTAAGCTCGCCTCAGTAACGTTTTTGCCAAATTTTGAAGGCTTCATAACTTTTTTAGAAAGTTCACAGTAGCAGTTTCACTGTCCATATCTGTAATCAGCGTTCAAGACTCTAAGTAGATACATGTCTAGGTCCCCTCTAAAGTTCCTGTGGGAAGTCCAATGCCTTCCTGTTATCGACAAGCGGCGTAGCAAAATGATGCGTCCTGCAAGGAGATGAAATCGGGTTCCGATCCCACCTAAGGCCACCGGGACATCAACCCTTCTAGGTTTCGCTAAGTTGGTACCCAACTCTCCTGGGAGGGTAAAAACACTGAGTCGTACACCAGCATCGATCATTAGTTTATGTCATTCTAATGGGCATCGACGATCAAAATGCCTTCACGCGACTTTGATGGCAACGGAAATGCGTGCGCTGCCCATGATTGAGTTGCCTGTAGCACTTCTGCTTCCTTGATTCCCATCTTGTGAGCAGCTTGAATTCTTGTAATCACCGACTTCCTTCTCCGCAATCTCGCTTTTTTTGCCCTGTGTGCAACTGTGTTTCCGTTCCCTAATTACACACAAACACACGCACACCCGGGCCAAACAAGACCCACTCAGTGACGCAACAAACACACAAAGAGATGGCGCAAACATAGCCACGCGTATCAACGGATATCCTTCTATTTTATAAAGCGCTAACTTTGTGTGTCGGTTTGTATGTCTGTATGTGTGTGTGTATGTATGTATGTATGTATGTATGTGTGTATGTATGTATGTATGTGTGTCCGTCCGCAAAATGAAGTGAGTGAGAAGGAAGCTCATGGGATAAACAAACCGCTAACAAATCGGGTAGCTTACAGGATTTGAGATATCAATGTTTTGTAGCAGGATAGTTGTGATAACACTCTAGGGCTATATAAACACCTGCTTAGCACACTTCCGTTCATTCCACATGGTGCTGCAGTGGCAGCTGGAGGGCAGTGGAGAGAGGAAGGGAGGATGAGGAAGGGAAGCGAAAAATCTACCGTCATATCATGATTGTGTCCCTTCTACTGTATGAAACACCATTGTGTTGCATACGCGTCACTTCCACGAGGTGTTGGTGTCACAGGAGGAAGGGACCATAGCGGAGGATAGAAAGCTTGCGCAGGAAAGGAAGGTCCCGGCGGTTGACGGGGGACTAATCTGGTGTAGACAAATACGAGCAAGTATACACGTAGGAGGTAGACATATATGTAGTTACTAGAGATGAAAAGTACGCGAAGATTTCCATTTTACAACACAGCGTGGCCAATAAACATGGATAACACCATTCAGACTCAAAACATGAACCAGAATAAGTGGTAAATTGCTATTATGCATTACAACTGTGGCGTTAATGGTAACGGTTTCAGCTTGTCGCCGACGCGAGAACGAACGCGATTTCGATCAGCTGATAAGTGCGCTGCAGTCGGGCGACCTCTTCAAAGACGACCTGAGCCGACTCCGGACTTCGCTTCGAGTGCCCAAGAAGTCTCGGGGTAAAGTCGTGACGCGTTCGCGGTGGCCGGATGGCAGAACAAGCGTGAGGACTCATCATGGAGCCTTTCGCGGCAATACGGACTCTACCTCAATGCCTTCCATGAGGAAAATCCGTGCTTTCTGTACCTACTGGTTCAATGCACATATGAATTCCTCTACAGTTAATCACAGCGAATCCCTCTGTGATGCTGATCAATTCTATGAATGGCATTAAATTCTTACGTTATACAAGAAAAATCTTTCGCTGGTGCCACTCAAACACCTTCCCCACTCCCTTCAGCTCTTTGATTTCTTCCCTGTATTTATTCCCCAAATGTTACATCTGCTGTTTTGGCTTGTTTGATCTTCGCTGTTGATGTTGTATGTTGCTTTATTGCAAAGTGCATGACTTTAAAGTTATCGGTCTCAAACGGACTCGCACAGGGCACTATGGTCGCACTCAGTGGCTTCTGGAGGATAGAGAGATTTGAAAAATGCTCAGAATTTATTTTCCACATTAACATGAGGCTATAGACAGAGAAAAAGGCCACTGCCTCCCAAGTGCTGAGATGTGTGCGAGCTTCTTTGGGATCGAGTTTTTGTATGTACAAAATGATTACGTAACTGTGAAAGGTGTTTGAGCTGCGGGCGAACAATTGAAAGCATTTAATTTAAGTTTACATTCCAATGAAATACATCTTCTCAATGAATCGAGACTTCTGATTTTCCGTATCACATTTACACTTGCACTAACCAGAAATGGAATCGTTCCTTCGAATAATCCACACCATTTTTTCTGCAGCATATAATATCATGAAAATCAGTTGTTTGGCAGTGCAAAAAGTATGCTAGACAGATTAGTTTTCGAGAATAGAGAAAACGCAAATCTACGCAAAAGCCACCGTTGAGGACCGGTCGCAAGGTGAGTGAGGCGGAGACAAGCGACCTCTATATGACCGGTTGCTGCTTCTTGGGAAGCCAGGTGTGGATCGACGACGCACTGGAACTCAATCTGGTCAAGACCCCAGCGTCAAGTTTGGTGAATAAAACGGTAAATGTCGCTCGAAGGGCTAAGATGCCAGTTAGAAGAGCCAATGTATTGCCATCAGCGGCAAATCATAAGGTCCAAAAAGGAGTCCCAGTGCAAAGCACTCCGCGAACCCAAGTGGATGACCTCTGCTCGTCCCCAATATTAGTGGCAGATATGCGACGGGAATTTGAGCGCATAGCAGTTCTTGGGTTTTTTGGATTGCTTACCATACCAGACTACCATATTTCATTCTTATTGTGGATGATGGGTTCAACCCGGTGATTCACAGGTGAAAATAGAATCATGTCCTTTACGTGGACGATTCCATTGTCGAGTGTGTTCAGTTCAAGGCTCTTGGAGGGACACCCCGGAACCAGGCAACGCTCACATGTTTCTATCTCAAAATAGTTAGCGTAGGCCTTACAGCATAGACGTCGGGCGCCTCTTTACGCTTGAAAAGTGCGCGACAAAAGGCGCGGGAAGATCGCTCCTGTCAGTCCACTCCGTCCGCAAGCTTCTCCTACCGCTGTTGGTTGATACGTGAACCTGCGAAGGAAGTCCGGACGCAGTTGCGGCAGCTGCTGCATTACGGTTTAATTCATTGGCACTGGAGCAACAAGATCTGTGAAACTCGTCCACGCACCCCCCTTCTTTCCTAACACGATCGCTAAAACGGGAGGTTCTCATTCGGGTAATGAATCCAGGGTTTCTTCACCCCCTTTTTATTTCAAACCACTTCCTACCTCCAGCTTCATTACTGAATGCTGTTCCCCACCTATTTTATCCCCGAGCTTGCCTTGAGCTGGGTGAGTTCATCTGATAATCAAAAAGTATGCAGCGCTTGTAGTCGTATGCTATTGGGTTAAACCCCTACCATCCTCCCGCCTCGCGACGCTGAAATTTCTAATACATTTCTCGAATGAAATCGAATCCTAGCATTTTTCGCTTGACATATTTTCCCAAGCCGAGTCTAGATTGGTCGACTGCTGCTCTGACAGCGATACCACCACAAACCCCAGACGTTGACTGTACCTCCGTCGACGATGTTAGGCTGCCTGCAGGAGTGCTTCTCACCCTACAGTCAGCGTTCACGTTGTTCTAGAGGCAGGGTCAACCGACCGTTGGACAAAGTCAACGAGGGGTCGTATTCGGCCGACCGAAAAGGGAGGTCGTATTCGCACGCAAGGTCGGAGGCAGGGTCAATCCTACACCAACGGGGGTCGCAATTCGGTTGAGCCACCTCCCCCCCCCCGGGTCGACGGCTATTTCGGAGGAATGTGGGTGGAGTTGGGCTGTGTCAACTGGTCTCAGAATCAAATTCATAGTCAAATACTATAGTAACAGCTCTGATGGTGAGTTTGGCGGCATGGGGTGGGGAGAAGGGTGGAAGGTGATGGTCGTTATTGGTGGAGCCTCTTGAGTCTCATGGTAGCGGAGGGGGTCATGAAAAATTTTCAAAAAGGGTTGACCCTGGAGGGGGGTCGTATCGAGGCTCTTCAGAAGGGGGAGGGGTCGTAAAATCTTTGAAATTCGTCCAACGTGACGGATGACCCTAGGTGGAGGTGACCTGTATTCATTTGCCAAGAATTTTTTTCTTGAACAAGAGCAGACCAAACTACTCAACACCCCTATTTTTTGCTAAACCAGTTTTCAGTGAGTGCCTCGTCGCAGGTTGGCACCAAAAACTGCCCCATTTCGTTCCTCTCGTTCTTTTTGTCGTCCGACAGCTGCGGTCCTCCTGATTCATATCCGCTCAAAAAATTTTATCATTGGATGCAGTGTTGTTTCCAATTTTTGTTCACTTGACGGAGGGTGACAGATCATTCCAGCAACACCCAACGTTTTGCGATGGTGTCTTCAAAAATTGCCAAAATAATCGACAAATTAGGCAGTCAGCTAATTATTAATGCTGTGTGAATTTCCACTTTTCCCCAATCTTTTGGCTTCATTCCGTAGAAACTCGATGAGTCTCTAACCGATGGAGGCTTGCGAATGGAAGGGTTGCATTGCCAAGCGCCTGCCTCTCACTACGCGCATATTTAGCCCCGGGATCAAATCCTGGATAGCATGCCCCTAAGCAGAGCAACTCCAATGCTCTCGGTGTTGGCGAATTGGCACCAAATGACTGAGAGAACAAAGAAGTTGCCCCCACATGGCTGGCCCTGCAGTTCATGTTATAGGCCAAATCGCATTCAAAACGCCCTCACGATTTTGAACGGAGGTCAAATGGCATCAAAAGGGTTGATAGGGGCTCGATGATTTATGCTTCATGTTCTGCACCAGTGGGCTAATCGCCGTAGCGGTCCTTCTGGCCAGCTTAAGCCAATATCAACCTTTGCTTTGCATAGCCTCGAGCTGGATGGAATTGCTGCCTACCCTCGTAAACTAAACATATGTTCATAAATTCTTTATTACTCTAACGAACGGAGAAATGACTGAGCAATACTTGTGAAGACGATAGTAGCAATGGAGAATTAAAACGAAAATAACTGAGAATGACTAGGGAGCAAATGAGCCGCGCGTGCGAGAACAAAATAAGAAATTGAAGCGTGAGTTTTGGCAAAATTCCAACAGAACATGACCGTAATGATGTGGCACGATTCATAGAGGCGACGAGGCAGAGAGGGCGATTAATAGCTCTTAGAGAGCCGGATACACTGAGAGAACGACGAATGAACACCAACATTTGTTCGAGCACTTGAATCGAAGACTGCACAAGGCAAGAAAACATCAGGCCGCTGACCGACCGTAACATAAGTGAGTGATGCGGGTGACGCACGCAGCGACTGCACAGTCCTGTTGCGATCGCGAGGGCTGAGCAGTCGTGAGTGATCGACGAATAGCCGGCATTCAGCTATGGCGATAAGCCCAGAAGGAGACAGCACTAACGACCGGCGGGGCAAAGTCCGCTGTGTGGCTATGATTTCGACGAAGCTCTGGGGAAGTTGAGAAACTGGTACCGTTTTCGCCTGAAATACAGAGCTTCACAGACAAGAAAAAAAGGAATAATGGAGAAAAAATCAACTCAATGCCCATAACATCAATATGGGAGGGCATCCGCTTTGATAGGCTACATAAATAATGCAGAGAACTTTAACACGAAAGTCCATTGATGATAGCGCTTCTTATTTGCTATGGTGAGGCATTTCAGTCATGATTAAGGAATCAGGTACAGCCGCTGTTGATGAGAGTTCTACGACACGATATTCCTCAAATGTCCTACCCCCCCCCCCATAAGACACAGGCCATTTTTCATTGTCCTCACCGTCCTCAGAACATGACGTCCTGCCATCATACACGTCGAGCTAAAGGAGGCCTGCCGTAAATGCTCCAGCCTGAAGCTGCTACATAAGTTCTTCAATCGATCCACTGAAGGATAGCTTCTTAGAAACAGTAGCTCCGAATCTGCGAAATCCCCTTCTGACAAGCTTTTCGAAAAACGTTGTATGACCAACGATACGCGGCCCTCGCTGAG